ACATTTTACTAATATTGGCTCTCAAGATGTTGTAGTAAATACTGCTGATTCTGCTGCTGCTGATGATGATTATGATGATGCATTTTATAATGTTAACAGAAGTGGCTTAATATATAGAGAGAATACTTTCAAATGACAATGCTCATGATAATACAAATGTAGTAAGAATGCAAAACATTTCATCTCTTATTTTTTTACTAGTTCAATTTGACCATTTAAACCAATTTGCTCACACCATCTACTCTATTTTCTAATTCAATTTTAACTGGTTATAAAAACCATTTCACTCAACATTTATGATAACTAATTGATTGTAACATGTCATATATAAAACATAAGGGTTATAGTTCATTCACCTGAAATCTGGGCCGATTCCTCCAAATAAGTTAAATATTATGCCTAGATAAAATTGCAGTCTTACAAAATGAATGAATAAGTGGGTTTTACATCTCACCAACACACAGGTCATTTAAGAACAAACCACTGATGTTCCCTAAGCTAGCTGGATAGATTTCTCAGGTAAAAGAATCCATAGTCTCAGATGCTCAAAGAAAATTAAGTAGGGGATTCTCTTGTAATTACGGTATATGCATGCACCAAATGTGTATCTTTTCTGACGATCACTTATATACATGAAGATAAACACATCTATAGTTAGCTTTTATTATTATTTTAAGAATTTTAGGCACAGGTCTGTGAAAAATGCTATTATCCTTCTACAAATTAATGTATAAATCAATAGAATAATGCTGATTGAATATGTCAAGTTTGAAGCATGCTGATTACACAACACTTAAAATGTGATATTTGCTGCAATCAAATCAATTAGATCATAATCTCTGCTCTGATTGATGGTTGACAAGTGCGAAGGATCCCTTTATAGTTAACACACTTAGTTAGGGGTTTGAAATTAATCCTTCAGACCATGACATAAAGTCACTTTACACACTTACAGATGATATTACAGAGACTTTGATAACCAGAATAATTAAGTGATCATATATTGTTGGTGTGAACTGCATTATTTCCCAATATTTCAGTAAATTAAATTACAGTGAATTTATGCAAATAATGAAATCCCGCCCTTCAAAAATCCCTAAATTGGTAAAGATCGAGTAATTGAAGAAATCAACCCCAAATATTCTGATAGTATTACATCTACAATGTCTTTCCAAATCACACTTATATTAAAAAAAGATATTGATTATCTTTCTGTCGTATGTGATACATACATGAAATATAGAAAAATAATCATTTACATGTAGAGCTATACATTAAAAATATTTGTATCATGGAGAATAAACTGTATACATGTACTTACATATACATGTATATTGTATGCTTGACATAATTAATGTTGCTTTGCCGTGAGGTAAAAAGCATAAGGACTTTTCAATCCGATGCAAAATCCTGGTCCTCGTGTTTAATAAGAGCTGTTTACCTTAACAGCCATCTACCTAAGAATTACACTAGTACATATGGTTACAGCAGCTGTAGTCACCTACATGAATAAATCGTATTATAAATGCTTGTAACATAGTGCTTAAGATACCTTTCATGACCCATAAAAATCTACTTACCACGAGTAAAGCCTTTTAAATAACACTCATGAAACATATGCACGTCTTATATTGTGTGCAGTGTGACACTGTGAGGTGTGTTGTAGAACAATTATCAATGTCAACACGTTGTAAAATAAATAAGCCGTGTACGCAGCTTCCGTATCGATTTTCCCGCCATGTGTCAAATGTAGGGTTGAACACTACTAACTGTGACATGCGATTGATTCATTCTACACTTGCTAATTAACGTTTGACGCCCATTCAACATGTGCTTACAATATTTGAATCGGCATATTTCTTTATTTAAAAAAACACATGCCTAAATCAATTAATTCATTTATTAATTATAATTAAATAAATTAGCTCAATTTACATTAAATTGATTAAAAAAACACACACATAAAATATTTACTATTCAAACTCTTGACAAAATATTTTATACGTCGAGACACACACAACCATTACTTCTTGGTAAAGCAACATAGACTATTACAAGCGTAAACGTATTATAATTTAGATTACATGGATTTATTTTAAGTTTTAAAATAATTTATAACGACACTGAAACTTGTTTTTTTTTTATCATTCGGTATAATTTGGATAACATGATTAATTCATATTATATTTACATGTATTCAACCTAAGATAAAACATTTCTGATGTTTGTCCAACAATATTGATTCTGGCACTTCATTAACTTTCGTAAAGGACATTTGAATAAATACTGACCAGGCCTAGAAGTTATATATAAAGCTTTTTTCCTGAGTTCTGACTCAAATCTCAGGATTTTCATTGATCAGTGAACATTTTGTGGCAGTTGCTAACCAATTAAAATACCTGAGACCTGAGCCTGAGCTCAGAGAATATCTATATAACATTGGTATCTATCGAATATATCGATATATTTGCTAGCTTCTCTCGTCAGCGAGGTTGTGGTGTATTGGTATAGATGTCAGACTACCGATGTGAAGGTCTCTGGTTCGACGCCTTACCAACACAACATTATGATTTTTTTATATTTGTTTATACTACACCTGTTTTTAGAATACCTTTAAAGTGGTGTTTGTATACACAATTTTATGTTTTATTTCATTAGGTTCTCTTTGTGACATTATGCAATAGTATTTATATTTTAGCGCATAGATATAACGCAGTTATTAAAAATACTACACAGATAGTACACACAACAAAAAAGGTTTGCAATAGGTTTAAGAGAATGACAATTTTAAAATTAAAATAAAAAAAAATATTAATCCATGAAAAAGGATTTGAACTTCCAGTTTACTTTTACATTCTTCAAGTAAAATCGCTATGCCAACTGCGTTGAGAAGGATTTATATTTTACACCATTTTTGCAATTGGATATTTACATTCATATCTTTTTACAAATAATCGATTTACAAATAGATCGTAACGTTTACCGGCTTCAGCGTTAAATGCAACAATGCCAGGTCATATATGTGTGTGTGTGTGTTGGGGGGGGGGGGGGGTATTTGTTTGTAGTTTGATGTTGCTGTTGTTTGTTTGTTTTTTGAAAGGAAATCATAATTTTTTTACTATTATTTGATTGATTGATTGATTGATTGATAGTTGATTAATTACTTGGTTGATTGATTGATTGATTGTTTGATTAATTAATTGATTGATTGATTGATTTATCGATTGATTGATTGATCTTTTTTGTGGGGGTGAGGTGAGTGGAAGTAATTATCTTTTTTTTTCTTTTTTTGTACAACTTAGTAACAATTGAAAATGCTCACTTGTCCTACTAGTATTTGAAATGCCATGTTAGAAAAGGAAAAAAGGAAGTTTTCATAGTAAACGAATTAATAGTCACGTCAATATAAGCTGTAAAACAGTGATCCGAGATTCTAGTCTGAGCAGTTCCCATGTTTCACATTGTGTGTGTGTGTGTGTTTGATTCATTTACCCTCGCCACCGGAATGAACCATATGGGCGAGCATATACTTCATTTAAAACTTTCTATATTTAGATGGGAACTAGTATTAATTTAACTATAGTTTTACCGGTACATTTGTTTACGTGCGTGCCATAATTCCTATCACAAGTTTGTATAGGAGTACGTAACCCGTGACAGGAATAAGATGGGATTGCTCCCAAACAAGTACGTGTATTTATAGAATGAATAGCATATTTCATTGACTTAAAGTTAAAAGGCCGAGACGTTTATAAAGAGTACCGTTTCTTATAACAGGTTAAGTATTATAATATCATAAATTTAAAACAAAAAGAATCCTGTCAAATGTCTTTTATAATCTATACTCATCTAGGGTTCAAATTGCAGCTTTGAGTACTATAGTATTATAGTTAAAATGATATGGCATCTGATGCATTTATAGATGTACGTATATTTTAAAATACATGACTACAAATATATTTTTCGCCAACTTTCAGATTTAAAAACATAAACGCTAGGGTTGTAATGTCAAGTTGAGCTTAGAAAAAAACTAAATTATGTAAAAACAAAATGAAAGTTTTTGAATTCACGTACATAATTTAAGATCTACAATTTCTTAGGATATTCGATCCAGTCTTTGCCACATGCAAGAGCGTTAAATGATAACTTTCTGATGGCTTCTGACAGAGACATAGATAAAAATATCTCTGCTTCTGGTGCATTTTCGGGTGGACATTTTTTAAATACAGCTAGTGTTCTCCGTTTCCCAGAAAATTTCGGACATGAAACTGTGTAAGATACTAACTTTCTTACCGAACTTTCTGTTCATATACCATTATGAAGTCCAATTATGTTCCGGAATCGTTTTACTATCAAAAGTTTTTTTTATATTTTATATTTGGTGTGCTGTTATGGTTTCCAAAGTAATGTATTGGACCATCTTTTGCTTCTGTTGCCTTTTTGAAAATCGGAACAGTTATAGTGATTTAGTATGGAAGTCAAAATACTCGTTTGTTTACATTTTGTTACTTTCATGTCAAGTTATTTCACATTTAGCGCTACTTTCTCCAAGTGATAAGCATCCTGAAACCACTATTAAGGAAAAATTCTTTTATATTTGAGGCATATGGTGCCTTTGAATGAATGCTACTGCACATGTCGCGCTTAAATATGGGGAGAAATAACATGTACATGTGTACATGCAAGAGCAGAGGCACAGTGCGAATGACCGTAGTAAGGTTTTCATGATCAATCACACTGAAAGTGACCTGCACTGTCCGTGAAAACTACCAATACCAACACCTCCATAAACAGAGATGGACCAAAAGTTATTGCAACATTATTGGTAAACGCTTAGCATCTGTTTCATTTTGAATATAAATAAGCTTACTTTAATCTGTAAAAAATTTTTTTTAAAGGTTCGTTAATCTTCAGAGCTTTTATAGTTGTAAAGTTGAAGTATTTTAGGTGTTGCTTTCATTGAATATGGTTTAGTACAGGATTACAAAAAACAAAGTTCGTTTAATTAAATATGTTGTAATTACATGTTACCTAACATTGAACTGTACAATATGGCAATTTATTATATACTTTTAAATGAAATATTGAGAAATATTGATGAAATAAAATGCGTATTTTCATATTCCGTACTTTCACTGTAAAAATTAATTTTTCACTGCAGTGAAATATATTTTCCGTATTTTCACTGGTGTCATGCCAGACTACTTTCTTCTAAATTCTTCCAGTACACATAATTTAATGGAAAATCTTTCAAATTGTTATGTCAAAATGTATATAATAAACAGAAAATTCAAGTTTTTTTTCTATAAATACAGGATATATTTTCATCTTGTGGTATGACAATTATCATATTTCACTCATAGTTACCGCCACTCATGAAATATTTATTTTCTTACCACTCGATGAAAATAAATCCTGTATTTAGAGAAAAAAACTTGATTATCCTCTCTATATTTCTACGAATACACCGCTATATAACCCACAATGGAGGAGACACAATACAAGTCAACTCTTTCATAGTCTGGCCCTCTTGCCTACATTAACTAAGGATTACACCATGGAGAAACATTGACATGTTTATATAAATTTGTTTATATTTGATATGTTATGGCCATCGGACTGAATATCGTTCCATTGACATAAAATAATTAATTTGATAAGCATGCAAAATTTCAAATTTAAAGACATCTTTACTTGGAATAAACACAATGCCCCAATGATGCGGAGATAATTCATAGATATAAGTCTATATAAACCCCTGAAAAAAAATTATATAGCAAAAGTCATCACTTCAGATGCAAAGAGTTCACTGATATCACACGAATTATGTCTAACAATTCTACCAATTTATTTTATACTAATAACATGAATATAACGGACTGATTTAAAATATGCAATTTATACAATATATAATAGTTGCTTCAAAAATCAATTTTTCGCTCCCTCTGGTGTACACATCGTTCTGGATAGAATGAAGTCTGTAATCCATTCTGGAAAATTCCATAATATACGAAAAGGAATATTTGCATCCCAGCCCACCACATACCTGAAGAAAAAAGTTAATATGCATGCACACAAAGAACACGTACCATCACATGTCAAAACAATTGCATAAATAAAAGAGAAAAAGAAAAGATTTTGAAATACAATGTCAACCTTCAAACGTGTAGGTCTATCACACATAAATAGATCTAAATATAATAGTTCTGGTTTTGTCTACTTTATGGCACTTTTTCAGCGATTTATATTTACGAAAAAGCCATGATATTTCCCAAAGTATTCTTACTAACTTATCTATATATTTTAAGAGTTTTCTCGGCGCGACTTCAATCTATATAAAATCTTTTTATAATATTACTCTACTGTAAAGCTAAAATACATGTATTACAAGCAACATTAAGCAAACTAATGATCAATTAAAAAACATCCGACCTAGCTGACATTATAAACCATACGTAGTCTAAATGATGCAGACTTTCATATAATTTAACTTCTCTTCATTGCGACATTTCTCTGACGTCACTTCTTACTCCAATATGACTGTGAAACTGTTTATTCAAAATCTGAATTAAAAAAGACCAATTCAAACCATATCTAGATATTTACACATATACTTACCTTACTTTAGGAAACCTTGATGTGATTGCATGTTCATAGGCATCTACTACCTTCTCTACTTTTGGCGACATCACAGTATTTAGTACCTTACAATGATTGTTTATCACTGAAATATACAAGTATACATATTGTACTGTATAAGCAATTCTACTAAATAGAGTGGTTTCTTCATCAAAACTTTGAACATACAATATGTATATACTGTAATGAACTATTCGAATTCAATGCAGATGAAAAGCTGCAATACTGTACATATTGTAATACTCTAATCATCACCTAGCTATAATGTCAGTAACTAACTTTTTCTTTCAATCAATTGAAATGTTTGTCATTAAGTCATGGAGCTAAATATATGTCTGTGATTAAGTGCATGAAAAAAAAATGAACACATATAATCAGTAGGCTACTGTTTAACTACCAGTGTATCTGTACATATATATAGTACTGTAGCTAAAGCAAAGGGGGACCACTGCGTAAGCATTCAATATAGTAATAAAATTTGGTAGCTTGCAACCCAATAGTAATATTTACGAATATATGATATTCCGCAATATTGGGATTAAGTACTTCCTTAAGTACTTCCGCTTTCAGTTTTGTAAATAAATGACACGAAATGTTATAAAAACCTAGGCTTTCAGTATCATTCTTCCAAAATGTTTAAGCTGTTGTTGCTGTTGGTGATTCAGGTAAATTAAAGTCATAGTTATGAGAACTGAATTGATATTTCCTTTTATCTAGTAAAAGTTACATGTATGAAAATGTAGATCTATTAGATCTATTATCTGTAGACTATTTAACAGTGTTTAACTCACTTAGTGAGTCACTGACACTGTTCAACTTTTACAAGATAAAAGGACATTTTTGTCTAGAAACTTTAAGTGATTTTTATCATTATCTAGATCTATCTCTTAGTACCTGCCATACCCTCTCGCAACTGTTATAGGAAGAAGTTAAATACAGGTCAATAATATGAACAAGGCAAAGCAATTTACTTTTACAGTGAAATAGATCTAGTATAAAATAATCGTTCATTTTTATTTTACATTTTCCGTTTTAAAATTGTCATTCGTTATTAGCTCGACTATTCGCAGAATAATCGAGCTAATGCAGTCATCCATTTGTCGGCGTCGGCGTCCCTGTGGTTAAGTTTTTGTATGTAAGCTGGTATCTCCATAACTACTGAACGGAATGGATTGAAACTTCACTAACTTGTTCTCTGTGATTATCTTAGATGATCGGCAACAAGTCCCTTAACTCTGGTTTTTTTTTTTTTCATAATTATGCCCCTTTTTTCGACTTAGAAATTCTTGGTTAAGTTTTTGCATGTAAGCTGGTATCTCCATATCTACTGAAGGGAATGGATTGAAACTTCACACACTTGTTCTCTGTGATTATCTTAGATGATCGGCACAAGTCCCATAACTCTGGTTTTTTTTTTTTCATAATTATGCCCCTTTTTCGACTTAGAAATTCTTGGTTAAGTTTTTGCGTGTAAGCTGGTATCTCCATTACTACTAGAGGGAATGGATTGAAACTTCACACACTTGTTCTCTGTGATTATCTAAGATGATTAGTACAAGTCCCATAACTCTGATTTGCTTCTTTGCATAATTATGCCCCTTTTTCGACTCATGAATTCTTGGTTACGTTTTTGCATGTAAGCTTGTATCTCCATACTTACTGAAGGGAATGTATTGAAACTTGAAGAGTTTGTACCTTTTCGGACAATTTTATGTATTCATATAGGTAAGCATTATTATACTCAATGAAACACCCTTGTGACAAATTTTCGAATAGTCGAGCGTTACTGTCCTCCGACAGTTCTTGTTTTAAGCACTGTTTCCGTTTATTCTAGTTCCCTTGACTATTATGGTTCCCTTATAAGTGCGCAGCACACCAGTTAACACCTTTTATCCGTTTTCAATCAGAATACTTCGGCTTTTATCGTTCTCTTGCAATTCGAAAAGTTGCGATGTGTCAATTCGGTACTTCGGACGAAAGTTTTCAAAACCGTCACTATCTAGCAGGTACTCACTACTCATGTTACCGTAAAAGTGGATTTGCGAGCAGGCCCTTTGGGCCAGCTCTTCGAGCTCGCTATCAACAACTTAAATAATAAACTTGTGTTTGTGGTGTGGTAAACTGCTATTTCAGACATGTACACCATAAATCTATCTATCTATCTGCTGTTAATGTCAAACCCCATGCGGGGACGTATACATGTCTGCTCGTCAAAAATTGCCAGAAGGTTAAAAAGAGTTATTTAAAAGAGGAAAAAAGAATATTGGAAATGTTAAAAATAGGGTCTGGCAAACTAGGGTGAGACATGTTCAGTGCAAGCTATTGCTGCACTGAACTGCTCTGGGGTAGGGAGTAGGGCAACTGCAGGGGGCTACCGGGTAGGTGGCTCCAGTGGTTTACTGTCCTAGGAAGGAAAGAAAATTTATAATAGCCTGAAGTTGCTGTGAATAACCTTAAACATAAGGGATGGCCATTGTGTGATGTTCTGTAGAGGGGTGTCAAATATTCTTCTATGGGGATAGCAACGAGACCATGGTAGATCTTATAGAAAACTTCAAAAACTAGGTCACACCGCCCACATATGGAAAAACCTTGTTAACACTCTAGTGGTCACATTTTTGACTCAATTATCATCAAATTTGGTCAGGATGCTTGTCTAGATAATTGCTCGGATGACTTTGAACATGGGTCATCTTGGATGAAAAACTAGGTCACAGGAGCTAAAAATAAAAAAATCTTGTTAACACTCTAGTGGCTACTGTTTTGATCCAAGTATCCTTGAAATTGGTCTGAAAGTTTGTTTTGATGATTTCTATGTCAAGTTCGAATATGGGTCACCTGGGGTTAAAAACTAGGTCACACTGCTCAATCCTTGTTAACACTCTAGTGGTCACATTTTTGACTCACCTGTCATGAAACTTTGTCAGAATGCTTGTCTAGGTAATTGGTCGGATGAGTTCGATGGGTCAGGTGAGCGATCTAGAGCCATGTTGGCCCTCTTGTTTCTTTTAAATCTTAGGATTTGCAAACAGTGCATGGTTTTCTTGTGATAGATCCTAAGATGTAAAACTTTTATAGTTTTAAACTTAGAAATTTATATACACAAAAGTATGGCATAATGTTAAGAATGTTATTGGTAATGTAATGTGTACAGGTATTTTAAATTTTTATTTCAGGTCAAACTTGCAGTGTCAGATGATGGTGTTATGTTCTGCAAAAAGACAGGAGAAACAGAATGGGAACATCATTTTTGTATCAATTATAATCCAAAGTTCCACCAGCTTCCAGTTGAAGAAAATCAGGCTCTTCCCCATAATGTAGTGGATCTATCAGCTACATATGGCTGCAATGCATCTGACTATAAATCAGTCAGTGCCTCGGTGTTAAAAGATAGTCTCGTTCTTGTATCTAGAGGTAATTGCACATTTACTGCAAAAGCAATGGAAGCTCAGTCAGCAGGAGCAAAGGCTGTATTGATTGCCAGTAACGCTCTACTTACACCTGGTGCTACTAATGAAACTGCTGACTACGCAAATATTAATATAACAGTTGGTACAGCTCTTTGGGAGAATATTGATCAGATAAAAGGAAAGGATTTGAAGCAAGTGGCAATACTGTTTGCTCCAGGTTATGAATCAATGTTTGATCCAAATTTAGCAGTAATATTTCTGATAGCGGTAACAAACATTGTGATAGGTGGGTTCTGGGCAGGGAAAACGAAACATGCCAAGTATCAGAAATTGAAGTATAAACATAAACGAGCGCAGCCGTCTACGGATGGAAAAAAAGGAGGGACTGGTGATGAATCTGCTAGTTCAGATGAAGAAGAAGAGGAAAGTGTTGATATATCAGTGATTGTAATTCTTGTGTTCTTTGTACTTGTATGTGGGTTTTTAGTGCTGTTATATTTTTTCTACGATTATTTAGTGTATGTGGTTATATGCTTGTTTTGTTTGGCAGGTGCTATGGGTCTGTACTATTGTATGCATCCCCTGCTGCACAGGTTATGTCCATTTAAAGCTAGGCTTCCACAAAATAGAATCCCGATGCTTAAGAGCAGACCATATTATACTGATCTTGCTTTACTAGCAGTCTGTGTAGGCGTGGCAATATTTTGGGGAGTAATGCGTCATGCTCCGTATGCCTGGGTCATTCAAGATATTTTAGGTTATGCTTTCTGTATAAATGTAATGAAGTCTGTTGGTGTACCAAACATGAAGGTTTGCACAATAATGCTTGTACTGCTTTTCTTTTACGATATATTCTTTGTATTTATCACTCCACTTTTTACAAAAAGTGGCGACAGTATAATGGTCAAAGTTGCAACTGGAGGGGGGAGCAAAACCAACGAACAATTGCCAATGGTGTTTAAAGTGCCGAGGCTGACCCAGGACGCTATCAGTGCTTGTCCATTACCATATTCCCTCCTAGGATTTGGTGACATCATCATACCCGGCCTTCTTGTCAGTCATAACCATGCATTGGATTTACGCATCAATAGTCGTAAATTGTACTATGTTGCAACCTGTATTGGCTATGCTGTAGGTTTGGTTATCACATTTGTTGCCCTTGCTGTCATGAAAACTGGTCAACCAGCATTACTATACCTTGTCCCATGCACTCTTTTTACAACTTATATAATTGGCTGCTTTAGAGGGGAGGTAAAAATGTTATGGAATGGTGTAAAGGATACAGGTTCTGAATCAGGATCAAATATGGAGAGCAGTTCTAATGTGAATAGCAATGACGGTAACTTAGAAAGTGTTGTTACATCAGACAGACAGAATACTACCACTGCACGAACTAATGGCGGAAACCAATCACCAAAATCTATGAGTAGCACCGACAGTGAGAGTCGAGAACTGTTAAAAAAATGACGTTAATTTTGTGTATGTGTGGGTATAACTAACAACAAACAATATGAAACAGAGGCTCATTGCCACACAAAGAAAAAAAAATCTGGAAATATTTCAAAGTGTTAAGATTATTGTTATCAGGTTATTTGAGTTTATTAGTTTTTCTTAAAGAAATCCTGTTTTTAGTACAAGTTTTAGTGTGTTTTTTTTAAGTGGATTGGTCTACAAAGAGCACTTTTCCATAAGATTTTCAGATATTGTCAGATAAAAACAATAGAAATGTCTCATTTGGATATTCTTATAAAATATGCCTTGAATAATAAATGTTGAAAAATTTCTATGCGATTTAATTTGAACATTTATTTGATGGAGAATAATATTTTGTTTCAGAACAACTTATTTGCTGTACATACATGTACAATGTAGATATGTAAATATGAAATCATGTATTTCACACTTAACAACAACATCCGTATATACATTGTAATTCTTTCCTTGTTTGTTATCATGTATGATAGTATTGATACTTAATACAATCAACATAATGGTCTTACAGACCTTCCATTATAGACCAATTCACTTAGAAAGGTTATTGAGCTTTGACTTTTTAAAGCAGCATGCCTCCAGATTCATGCTAATTTTCATGAAAAATTTGAAAATGTAAAGGTAAAATACATCTGTATTGTGATGTGAAGAAAGTAATTCATGCATAGCTAACGGTACTTGCAATCCACGTAAATTTCCAAAAAAGAGCTCAAAGTATGAAAAACAACCCTTACTACATTGTATGTAAGTCATGCAGTAGAAATATGGTGATGAATATTGTAAAATTAGTCATTAATGACACATTACTTGTAAATTATTTTTTGACTCTTGGATCTTCTTATTTTTATGCCCCCGCCATGTAATGGCCGGGGCATATAGTGTTTCCCTGTTCCGTCATTCCGTCCTTCCGCCATTCTGTCATTCCGTCATCATCAGTTTCCGTTCATTATCTTAAGAACGGTTGCACACATTCAACTCAAATTTGACATATGAATATGTCATGACAAAATACAGGTCAAGTTCGAATTTGGTCATGGTTCGATGATTTTTGACAGAGTTATGCCCCCTTTACTTTGAAAATAATATGAAATTTCAGTTTCCGTTCATTATCTCCCCAACAGTACAACACATTCAACTCAAACTTGACATATGGATATGTCATTAGAAAATACAGGCCAAGTTCGAATTTGGTCATGGTTCGATGATTTTTGGCAGAGTTATGCCCCTTTTACTTTGAAAATAATGTGAATTTTCATACCGTTCATTATCTCCCCAACGGTACAACACATTCAACTCAAACTTGACATATGGATATGTCATGACAAAATACAGGTCAAGTTCGAATTTGGTCATGGTTAGATGATTTTTGGCAGAGTTATGCCCCTTTTACTTTGAAAATAATATGAAATTTTCAGTTTCCGTTTATTATCTCCCCAACGGTACAACACATTCAACTCAAACTTGACATATGGATATGTCATGAGAAAATACAGGCCAAGTTCGAATTTGGTCATGGTTCGATGATTTTTGGCAGAGTTATGCCCCTTTTACTTTGAAAATAATGTGAAATTTTCAGTTTCCGTTCATTATCTTCCCAACGGTACAACACATTCAACTCAAACTTGACATATGGATGCGTCAAAAGAATGCGCAGGTCATGTTCAAATTTGGTCATGGTTCAATGATTTTTGGCAGAGTTATGCCCCTTTCACTTTGAAAATAATATGAAATTTACAGTTTCTGTTCATTATCTACCCAACAGTGTTACATATTCAACTTAAATTTGACATATGGATATGTCAAAGGAATGGGCAGGTCAAGTTGAAATTTGGTCATGGTTTGATGATTTTTTTTGCAGAGTTATGTCCCTTTCACTTTGAAAATAATATAGATACATCTTAGGAATAAGCAGTTTAAGTATGAATTTGGTTGTGGTTCAATGATTTTAGACAAACTTATCTTTCCTGAATGTTGGAAAAATTTTGTACTTTCAGTTTCAGCACTCATACTTTTAGCCATTATTTTGGCTACAAATATGAAATATGTTATTTTTAAAAGGTTAAGACTGAATAATTTCAGTGTCTTGAACATTGTATGAAAATGGTTTGTGTTAACATTTTAAAGTTTTAAGGGCTTTGAACTTAAAATGAAAAAAATAATTAATGCACCATCTGAAATTTTGGCTGCATGCGGGGGCATCCGTGGCATGATGACACATTTCTAGTTCTTAAAATCTTAGTATATTTTTCTCAAAGTCTGGTTTTACTTAGGTATTTTGGCTCATCTAGAGGCATGCAAGATATATTTTCTTTTCTTTTTTTCAATACAAATGAAGATCTGTTAATATTAATTACTTTCCTGTGTAACCTTTTTATGCCCCCGCCATGTAATGGCCGGGGCATATAGTGTTACCCTGTTCCGTCATTCCGTCCTTCCGTCCTTCCGTCATTCTGTCATTCCGTCATCATCAGTTTCCGTTCATTATCTTAAGAACGGTTGCACACATTCAACTCAAATTTGACATATGGATATGTTATGAGAAAATACAGGTCAAGTTCGAATTTGGTCATGGTTCGATGATTTTTGGCAGAGTTATGCCCCTTTTACTTTGAAAATAATATGAAATTTCAGTTTCCGTTCATTATCTCCCCAACGGTACAACACATTCAACTCAAACTTGACATATGGATATTTCATGAGAAAATACAGGTCAAGTTTGAATTTGGTCATGGTTTGATGATTTTTGGCAGAGTTATGCCCCTTTTACTTTGAAAATAATATGAAATTTTCAGTTTCCGTTCATTATCTCCCCAATGGTACAACACATTCAACTCAAACTTGACATATGGATATGTCATGAGAAAATACAGGTCAAGTTCGAATTTGGTCATGGTTTGATGATTTTTGGCAGAGTTATGCCCCTTTTACTTTGAAAATAATATGAAATTTTCAGTTTCCGTTTATTATCTCCCCAATGGTACAACACATTCAACTCAAATTTGACATATGGATATGTTTTTGAAATGCCCAGGCCAAGTTCGAATTTGGTCATGGTTCAATGATTTTTGGCAGAGTAATGTCCCTTTCACTTTGAAAATAATATGAAATTTACAGTTTCTGTTCATTATCTACCCAATAGTGTTAAATATTCAACTTAAATTTGACATATGGATATGTCAAAGGAATGGGCAGATCAAGTTGGAATTTGGTCATGGTTTGATGATTTTTTGGCAGAGTTATGTCCCTTTCACTTTGAAAATAATATAGATACATCTTAGGAATAAGCAGTTTAAGTTTGAATTTGGTCGTGGTTTTGAACTTTCAGTTTCAGCACTCATACTTTTAGCCATTATTTTGGCTACAAATATGCAATATGCTATTTTTAAAAGGTCAAGACTGAATTATTTCAGTGCCTTGAACATTGTATGAAAATGGTTTGTGTTAACATTGAAAAGTTTTAAGGGCTTTGAACTTAAAATGAAAAGAATAATTAATGCACCATCTGAAATTTTGGCTGCGTGCGGGGGCATCCGTGGCATGATGACACATTTCTAGTTGTATTTTGCATGAATACCGGGTATAGAGAACATTTTTGTTGATTTTATTGTTAGTTAGAAAGTTTTTTCGGTGTGATCATCCAATTATGATATTATGATATATACATGTATATACATTGTATATTATATATTCAGGAGTGAAAATGTATATATTTACCAGTGAGATGTTATTTGTTTTCTTGTTGTATGATTTGAATGTGATAAAAAATCTTATATTTGTTGTCATTTGTATTGGCTTACTTTACATTATATATGTCACAGAAATAGGTTTTAACTTACCACCAGCTTTCTTTCTTTTATTCTCATGTAAGTAAAATTTCAAGCAATACAGATAAAAATAGTGGGGAAAAAGGAATGAAGAGATGCCTTTTCCAATTTACATTATAATTATTTATTAGCAATTACTTTTATAATAATTATATTTCGCCTGGTCATGGTTTTCACTGTGAGGTATTTCAGTCAGTACATAATTTGAAATTTTCCCTAAAAATGATAAATGTTTATGTCAAGATTGAGAGATGGAAGATGGACAAGTTCATATAATATATTGAGTATTGTAATTAATGATAAGTTATATATGTATACTCAGTTTACAGGTATGCCTTAGGTAGTCAGGTTGTTTTTAGCATGGGTTATAATTATTATATCAGCTATATACATGTACATACCTTAATTGATTGTAAATATATTGATATGTAAAATATATGGGAAAATATTTTATTGGTATCTGTGATTGAAGATTAAATTATAAGATTTAATTTGTTTTATAGTTTTAATTGATTAAATTTTATATTTTGTTTTCTTTATTTTCTCTTTTTTTTTAGCAATTTTTTGTGTGAATATTTTGGATATAATGCAAACAAAATGATTTAGATTGCATTTGTTATTTGTCAAAATTTGATTGTCTTTAGATGTATGGATTTTTTTTCAGAATATTTTATTCGATATAACACATATTGTTTATATAGTCCTGTTAGAAACTGTTAACTTTTTAAAATATGTGAGTCATAATAATTTTGTCTCTGGTATATTAAGGAATCCAAAATTGAATTTATTTTCTTTCAGAGATATGGAACATAAAAAAAAATTAACATTTTTATACTGTATATTGGTCAGTATATGTTTTCGATATGTTATTCATTTCTTGATAAGATTGGCATGGGCAGGTCAGCATAATTATTTATACAAAACTAAATCACTTAAGTCATTTCCAGCTAGGCTAAAAAATCCTTTTAAAAAGATATCGCTGAGGGTTTTTAAATATGACAGGACTAGAAATGTTGTTTTTAAGATTTGTCTGAAACATAATTTATATGCAAAATTTCAAATCATTAAAAATTTTGCTAAATCTATTTTTTAAGGACCACCATTTTTATTGTGCACAATGATCCAAAAATTGAAAAGCCATTTTTGATGATTCTAAATCAAATCATGCCAAGATTAGCACTTAAATTGTCAGTTTAATTCTGAGTATATTTTCTTTATAATCTTTTGCATAAATTTAACTGTCCCATTTGATCTATTTAAGAATTTCATTTTTTTTTTTGGTTTGCAGGTTTTTATTTGTTTGGGTCGTCAGATCAAACAAATAATGGTAGCGAAATTTCAGAGCCTATTGCTGTTAATTGCAAATGCCTAAAGTAGTCCACTTTTTTGAAGCGGTTACTTCACTTACGCGGAAAAATTCAGGGGAGATCAATGTGTAAAGATTGTCAAATGGCAGGCGCATTAATTTTCAAGCAAAGTAGTTCCCAAATGGTCGAAGATTTCTAATATTGTTTCATTCTTTATAGATATACATACCTACAGTAAGCTCCATGATTATTTACATCTGTGTTTAGCGTCGAAATAATAAGTGAGTTACAAACCCTAATTTAGAATAATATGGTTTTCTTCAGGCCATTAACATATAACTTCACCGTGGCCAAGGGGTTTGCACGCTCGCTTATGAATCGAGAGGTCTAGAGTTCAAATCCCAGTTGTGGCAACTCATTTTTTTTTTTTTTTTTAAGTCAAATAAACCTTGAATTGACTATCAGTGTTGCAATTAGTCTTACAGCCAATTTACTACAGTTAAACACTGGAAAGCATTGGTGGACCTATACAAAAACAAATTGGTTTATAATCTCACAACCTTCACCTTTCTGACATCCCAAGACCCAAACAAATTCAGCGCCTTCTGTGCTTTGATTTTATTTTAGTAGAGAGCCTTTAAAAATGATTGCAATAGGCTAACATTCTTTTTTCCATCAAATTTTATTAACTTTGCAGGTTTATATGTTATTTTGTTTATTCTAAGGGGTTGAAATTTGAGTAGTTTTAAATGTTTATATTTATATGTTGAAATGAGTTCATTTTGCTAGAATCCATTCTGAGTTTATGATTAAAGGGAAGTAACCTGCTACATTGTACTTGCATGAAGGTTAAAGTCACTCTTCCACTAGCTTTCTTTGTGTGATATGTACATACTTTTAATTAAATAATCACTTGCTTAGAGGGAAATTTTTGTTTGTTTGTGTGAATAAATTCCTTTTTTCTAGAAAATACAAGTAACGATACTACTAGAAAAGTTGGTAACATATTTTGAATACATATTTAATTTGTTTTGTATGCAAAAATAATGCATGATTTTATTGTTTACTTGCTTCATGCCTTAACAAGACTTGCAAATTTATTTACTATAGCGACTTTTAAATCATTTAAAATAAACAATATACTTAATATGTGTATCAAAATAAATTTCTTGAAAATTGAACAGTAAAGGAGCTTTTGTCATTTATATAACCTGTCCCTTCCCTTGTCAATATTATTAACCATTTTGTTCAAAATTATACACAATTATCTCAAAATCTTTCAAGATAATTTATATTTTTGTTATATTGAAAAAATGTTGATTATCCATGGGGTTGGGGTGGGTTCCATTGTAAAAGGACAAAAGTTTGACCATCCTAACCAACTCCACTATGGGATGGGAAGGGCATACATACTGGTTCTCACCACTGTGGGTTTTAAATCCCGCCAGAGACTTTGGGTTCTTTAATCATAGCTATCCACTATCAAGCTAGCTTACAGAACATTGGTGGTTCTACTCCGGTGCCCTCCAATGCCTGAAACAATGACAGATGAGGTCTTCCTCTAATAGTAAAGGGACAGGGGAACTGCTGTATCCATGGACTAAAACACATTAGTAACAGTCATTAGGGGTGATAAACGGAAGGAAAATCTCTTAACAGGGCATTAAACCCTGAAATTCATTTCAACACCATTTGAATTGTCCCTTTTTTCAACCTGGAGTTCCGGAGTTGGTATTTTACAAAGAAGGGGAAGTGAAACAAGGTGTTTTTTAGTCTTAATGACATATTTACTGCTTAGTCTGCTTTGGCCAACTTATTCTTCCCATGTGACCAGTGCAGACCAATTTAAGCCAACACTCATGCCCTCTGGTCATGGTCTGTACTGCTTGCTAATTAGTCATTCGAATTTTGTAGTTATTCCAAAAAATTATGAGACTGAAAGATGGACAAGAACATTATAGATATTTAGGATAGTAAGGATTAATAATGTTCCCCCATATACTTAGAATATAATTCAGTGTTGCTATTCTTGAAAATATTCACTCCCTTTTTGAAACAGTTATATATTCTTTATCAAATGTGGTAAACCATGTCAGTAAAGTCGTCATAGAATCGAGGATTCTGTTTTAATTTTGATTATTCATTAGCATTTTAAGGTGTAGGTCAATTTCTTAGAAATTGAAATTGAAGAACGTCCATTAAGTAAAGTTCTCGTTTCAATTGCCTGATTTAAATAGGTATATTTTTTCATGGGGGAATTAGATAGCTTAAGAGATATTCTTAGTTCTCTAGAGGTTTTGCACAAGTACAAAAATGAAAAACAATGGATGCATTTTGAATTTTGTCCGTCCTTCAACTCTGCTTCTGTTGGTTTATCCCTATTGGCGTCAAAGCTACGATTCGTAACCACTTACCACACATCAGCACTGGTTAAGCTGCGGTCTTACCCGGCAGAGCCCAGAACCACCCCGATAAGGTCTTCTAGACCGTCTTCCCCCTCATTACAGTGGAAGATAATTTGGTGACTTTTGGTGTCAACCACGTAAATGACGTGCATACTCTTAATTCATACATTAACTAGTAATATTAATTATAATTATTTGTAATCCCCGACTCACTTTGCACCAAAATATCTCAGCCTGTAACTTTGAGAGAGCGAGTCACTCATTAACGAAAAGCACCGCAGGTACAACCAGACGGTAAAATACCCGCCGTATCGTGGCTTTTTTGGCGCGAAAATCATTGCATGTGCTTGGTAGATCAATATAAATAACATAGTTATTTTCCTTCGCTATCCCAAGCGTGTAAACCCCAGGGATGTGCGCCAATGAAGGGTTTACAAACAACATGTCAGGGATAGGAGTTGATGCCTTGGATTAATTAATATAAATTATTTCAAGCACGTACTACATGTACATGTACTTACTTTCATTTTTATAAGCTTCACCGTAATATTTCTGAACTTCTTTCGGGGCTTGCTCAAACGTGGCATTTAAACCATCTTGTATTGTATCTTCCTCAACGATGCCTGTGTCGAAATAACCTGGTTCTATCAGATGTACACTGATTCCTGTTCTGTAAAGCTCCCGTCTGCAAGAGGAAAATGACATGAAAGATGGAATACAATTTTAAGGAAAAAACTTGTATCTAAAAGGTTTTCTCCAGTAACTAAGTTACACATTGATTACTTGCTGGATGTTTAGAGATGTCCATAACAATTAATTCGCCAATCGATGATTTATTTTTGAAGTATTTCTTAAAAAGAACACCAATTGCCAACAACAACAGTTCCATACCAGAGTCAAATCAGCCCTGATTCACACCACTAGCTTCACCTAAAAGTGCCGTGAGAGGCGGGCGTCACAGCCAGGGTGATTGTTTGGTTTAATACATTATTTTTGAGAAATTGTGTAAAACATCTATTTTTAATTGGAAAGCAATCCTGCACTCCTTACATTTGATTCGGATGTGCGCTTATTAATGTATGTGTGTTCGTTAATTTTCATGATAATATATATCATACTATCATAGTATTCACTGACCTTAACTGGTCCGAAAATCCTTCAACTCCGAATTTAGACGCACAATACGGCCCAGTAGCTATAGCAAAACGGCCACATATGCTAGACATATTCACAATCCTCCCACCCTTTTCCTTCCTTACTAATGGCAGAAACTCCTTTGTAACAAATATAACTCCGAACAAGTTTATTTCAATGGTCCTTCTAAACTCTGACGCCGACAGCCATTCTATCGGACCGACAGTCCCTGGCACTCCAGCATTATTTACTATTGCCCATAAACCTGAAATTAGATCAAACGTATTGAATTGACCAGATCATTTATGCAAATTCTGAAGGTTGTTGCATGTAACATTTCAGGTAAAAAACTGCATGTTTCTGATAAACTTTCATTTCAAATTATAACACTTGTCATTTATTTTTGTACACATGAAAATCAGTAAGACTGTCTTATAAACAAAATATAATGGCCTCGCAACAAACTTAGCATTTCAAAAAAAAAGAAAAGTTAACGACAAACATAAACGACCAGTTTGTTAGCCAGTGCGCATCCGTGAAATCTCTCAAAACGGTACACTATTGGCTGCCCAACTTGTTGAATACGTACATTGTAATATTGAAAACCCTCTAATTATCAATGAGACAGTCCCACAGTCCCATTACTGTCCCACTATCAAAGCAGAACACGAACTATTACACCGATCAGCATTAAACATACATCATAATTGCCCACCTTGTTCTCCTTTGGTAAAATTTCTTTTCCTACGATCCCTTTTGTTGCTTTACGTGATACTTGTTCATAGAAACAATCTATTTCAACGGTCGCAATTGATTTAGAACATGCCGCCTTTGAGTTCTGTCATTCCTTTTCATTGTCACAAACAGCCCTGCATACACGACGGAAACCAAGTCGTCTAAAACGTTAGCTAACAAGTTTCACGAATCCCGTCGTCAACATCCAGTATGGAAGACATCTTGTTCCATAGTACAGCACTTTTAACCGCTCGTCATAACAACCGTAACTGTTAAAACATACGTGTTAGAATATTAGAGATTTTACAGCATTTCTCTGAAAAAGACAGAGCAATAACTCGCTTACATTTTGTATGTTGAATTGAAAAAACAATTGCATAATTATGACAAATCTGTTATTTACTGTAATTATTTTATATTTAAAGATGTGGTTACAATAAGAAAGCATGTCGCCATTTTTATATGGCTACAAGTCACAATAATTTGGTAATGATAGACATGAGGTTATATAATTCAAATACTGTCATGTGATTGTTATCACATAGTAACTGTTATGTGTTGTGCGGTAATTACATGTATCATGTGTATAACGTCAAATGGTTATAGAAACATAGATACAGTTATATGGTTACACTTATGTGATAATACTTTACAGTTACATTATTTGGTTATAGTAATATGTTATTAGTTTACAATTACATTATTAGGTTATAGTAATATGTTATTAGTTTACAATAACATTATTTTGGCTTATAGGTATATTGGTATGTTTACGATAAGAATTTTGTCGGTTTCATCTTTAACAGCAATGTCTTAACAAGTAGTAGCTGTTACTCGTCAATATTTGGTTAAACAGTATTTACTTTTTGATATAAATAATGTTAGTATGGTAGCCTGGAGGGAGGTTAGTGTATTAGTCAGCATTAATAAAATAAGTCTTACAGATCCCTTAATAAAGCATGAATTCCGTCATTTACGTAAACTAGACGAAATGGAATTAAAGGTTTTAATAATGCCTTCGGATAAAGAATTTATCTCTTCTCGTGAATGTTATCTTTTATTTTGTTGTTGAAATAGCTTACATTTTGTCCATTTTTTTCCAAAATGTATACAATGTAGCATAAACGTGACCTTGTCAACTATATTTATTGAATTTTACGAATTAAAAAGTGTGTTTCGTATAATAACTAAAAGTTGTTAACTCTTTCTGTATTACATTTCAATGAGGATAATTTTGTATAGATTATATCACTTATATACACGCTGCAGCATATAAAACTGACCACTTTCTTTCTCTTTTTTCCAAAAGGAAGCAATTATGAATGAAATATAATTTGTTAGATTGTTGAACTGGTTTATGGCCGTGTATAAACGGCTGTATTCTGTAAAACAATGGACAAATTTGCCTAAATACTCGTGTTATTTATGTGCCTTATACACTGAGCTATACGGTGCATTTTAAACGGGAAAGCATAATTTTACCACTGTGAAGTATTATATAATCACACGTGTCTCGGTTTGGATCTGAACCTATATTTCGTTATTGGTTATACAATTCAAACATGTATACGTCTCGTGACCTACATTATTTATGAAACGTAATGTGTAATATAAAAACAATCTTACGCATTGAAAGCATGCACCTAACACCAATATTTCCTAAATCGTATCGTATAAAATACATTATAGCTAGAGAGAACATAATAATAATGAAAACATACAAAAATGTTACCATCAAAGTTTAATCAGGTTATGTTAAATATTGAATGCGGTAGAACAAATAGCTAACATTAACAACGACTCCGCCATGCGTGTACACAACTTATGACTCGTGTTTGTTTTTAAGCGATAAACCATGAAATAATAGAGTAATATTATAATACAGCAATATATAGCTTTATGTTTTAAATGATGACTGTGAATTTAAAATATAATTTTTTATTCCTTTTTACTAAATCACTTATAGTAATTTCTGTGCTAAATGTAGATGTATGTATAACTTGTATACTAAAACTTTCCAATTGCTAAATTTATAAACTGTGATCAATTTCACATCTGTAATACTTTGCACATTATAATTTCCATGGCTCATTATAAATGGTCACGCTCTCCTGATGGAAATTACTCTGATGGAAGTATATCATGTTTATCATATGATATTGGCACATAATACATTTTCAAGGCTACTTACCTTATGCACGATGATAATTTCCATGCCATTTTATGGACTATTATCAATTCCCGTGATTATTGTCCGTGGGTTATGATATAACAATTATGAATTTTCTTACAATAAAAAAGAATACAGTTTTAAATTTCCAGTGGCCATTTAGCGATTATTAATTCAATTACATGTATAAATTCCATGGCTTAGCTTAATAACTATACATTAATCCAATGTCACATAATATTTTTGTTAGCTTTTATGGACTATTTGTATGCACTTATTTATTTTCTTTTTTTCGACATGAAGTAAATATTTTGTAGGATTTCACTAAAAAATAAAGTGTACATACAACGAAATATGATTTAAATTACATTAGAATGACATACAATCCAAATCTCAGTATGCTTCTGAACGTAAACTCCATCTAGATCTCGCACGATAACATGTCAGTTAAGCTAGAAACATTACAGTCGTTTTAGATGATAGAAATACAATAATTACCTCCTTTGAAGAGAAGGAACTTTTATTTATAACTACTGAACAGATTTATTGTCAACAATAAGAAATAACCTTCATCTCTTCTTCCAATCAATCCTCTAGATATTTAAATTGTTCTATCCCGAACGCCGAATGAATTCGTTCATATTGGTCACATTACAATACCTAGTACATCAAATAACAGTTTATTTGCTTTAAACATTATAACACGTTCTAGCATAATATCAGACAGTAACATAGTTAATAGCAACAATATGCAAAACAAAATGTTATGAATCTGGTTTAGCGGAGGATATTTGGTTAATATGAGCAAGATATAAATCTTAATTTGATATTTTTTTGTGAAGAAATACATAAGAATACTACACAAATTTGAAAAATGTTAATTACCTCTTCTTTTACAACCGCAAAGTATAAAAATCTTGATAAATTTTGAGTCATTTTACTAAATTTAAAGTAAAGATCACTTCAAACTTTGTTGATTGTTGAGCCAATGGCAATAATAACATGGCAAATATTTTATTCTTATATCTCTATAGTAAGGGCAAGCACCAACAGACAGAAATGATATTCGTCCTCGAATTGATTAAGATTCGCAAAGGTCATAGTCGACTTTGGCCGGGGTGTGTGTATTATTGTCCAAGTTTCAATGCGTATTAAGTCTGATATTCTGTCTTATTAACAGCTCATTCTAATTTTTTTTTCCAAACAATCGAAAAATATTTCTCCACAAAAAATCGTGTTTAAATATTGAATAAAAATGTTAAGCGACTCGAATTATTTATTTCACAGTACAATTGTGTTTATTTAATCCAAATAACCTTAACTTAATCTCTGCAAACAGAAATACTCTATGATCCAAACCTTGCATTCCAAACAATATAACTGAAACGTGGACAATCTAAATCATTTTGATTTGAGTTGAACGCCATTTTTGAGAGAAATATTTCTTTTATCCTGTATGATTTTTCAGCATTGAGAAATGTTTTGTTTAATAAGCGGAAATTTGATCTTGTTTTTAATATTGTAGCATATTTGTTTTCTATTACACCATCGTAATACGCCCAGTTTCACCATATAAGTGCACATAAATTGGTTGACTTTTGACACAAAGAACCTGTCTTAAAAATTTGTATGTACAAGCTTCGATATCTGATGCTTTATGATGCCCCATATTGTGGTGACCAAAGTTAAGAAAACGGAACCGACAAGAGTATCAAATAACGAAAGCTTTTGGGACATTGAGAATTCGGTGTAATTAAGGATTTTAAATAAATTAATAAAGAAAAATGAAGCATGTTACGCGAAATATGCGTTTTTTGGGTGCGAAACCATTACCATTTTTAAACAACAGTTATTCCTAGAATATTTTAAAAAGAGGGAACTATTTCAAATTAGAGTGTGTGTCAATATAAAAATCAAATGTCGTATGTCTGCCACGTTCAAAAATTCATAGCTTTTGTTTTGAGAAGTATTAATCTTTAATCCCCAAAATTACATAATTAACCACATCGTTTAACATTTACTGTAAGGAAACTGGCGAGAGAAGAACACTAGTGCCTTGTCGTCGGAGTAATACAGAAGTAGAAACATTTATAGATCTTTACAGTAAAAATCCCATCAAGTCTGAATTAATATATTGTGTTATTCGTTGAGAACAGCATAAAAATAAAAAGATGAACTGGGGTCTCCTGTTTAGGCCTATATTTGAGCTAAAATATTCCTGAATATGATTTTTATAACCTTACACATGATATCTATTGATTAATGTCTTAACTTAGTTGTTAAGTGTAATTCGTAAGACAGTAATATAAATATAGTAGCAGACCCCTTTACACTGCGACTTTTCGGTCCGTTTCGCCATGATTTCGGAATAATTTGGCAGCAACCGATTGACTATGAAAGGGTAAAAGCACAGAACAGCAGCAACAACAAAAAGTGGATGATTTTTTTGCCCAACCATTGTTTACTGGTGCATTGGTAATGAAAGGCGATCGTCAACTGCTCAAGCACAATCACACGTGTGTCACATTTATATACGTTCAATTTATGCTTTAACGAACAATAGAAGACAGAAAAAATAGAAGCAACGAAACATAGATTATTATAAACAAACTTTAACACTTAAATCATCATCATGACTTCTATCTACAACATGAATTACTTTTTGATAATCTTCATTTACACATGTATGTATAAGCGATATATATTCAACAAAAATTCTTTTTTCTGTTTCCCCTTGGAGCACTATAACCATATAACGCTAGTAAATACTAACTCACTAAATATACTATTTTAAGTGAACAGCTTGATTCAATCATGTCCCATAGGCAAACATATTGCAGTTTCATCCAGTACGTGTAGAACTACTTCAACTCAATTTTTGTGGAATCAAACGGCGAAGTATTCGAATGTTCTTAACCATATGAAGCTGAATGCCGTCTAAATTTCTATAAAACAGTCTTTAATCTTTATATTATTTAATGAATAATTCCTTCCTGAAATGTTAAAAAATATTCTACTTATATTCGATTGAAAATAATATTTAATATTTCA